TATTATCTTGCACTGTTTCGTCCTCTTTTACAACAGATGAATAAAAATATCACATGGTGTTTTTAGAACCAACATAAAATTCAGTTTTATGCTTGATGTTGAAGCTTAGATTGGTTTAATGTATTTCAAGGGTGAATTCTTGAAAAAAAGGGAAAAAAAGAAGGAACAACCATTTCCCCCGCATACAGACCTAAAATAATAAAATTTATCGAAAGGGAAACGACGTATTTTCCAACTTCAAATAAGACTATTACTTCTAAGCTACGGAAACGTATAACTTAATGTGTCATTTGAAAATCAGCATTTATTTTTCTATTATTGATTTTTGATACACCTTTTGGCAAAAGAATGTTAAAAAGTTTAAGTCGAGAGGAAACATTGATTGACATATTGTTCTCAGTTGATTGACGTACTTATTATCCGTTTGATCTATCCTTTAATACCAACGAGTTATAAAATTACGTCTTGTTTTACTTTCCGTTTTAAATTATTTTGTTATGACTTCACTGGTTCCTTTAATGTTGCTGACATAAAGACTGACGTTATATTGTGTTGAGATTTCTAACTGTGTATGAATAAATGGATAGGCTCAGGGTGACGTTAGCTTTCAATGCTTCGCCATTCTTGTTGCAAGTAAATATTTGAGGATTTCCATTATCATATCCAGGAATCAATGATATCACTGCAATATCTAAACAAACAAAAGTTTGCAGAACAGTATTACATTGATTACGATCATCGTCGAATGGTTTTGAACATTTTACAACAAAAACGTCTCAGGACTTTCGGTTTTATGTAAATTGCATTTGTGTCAGACGATGTTCTAATCTCTTATCTCACACACTTTCTATGTTTAAGAATTACGATAGACAGGAAATGCCAATTATACTTACATAACACATCGATCTCTTTGAAATCACTGAATGTTACTCCTGGGTTGTTGACGGTACGTCTGACCCTTGACTTGTCCCTGGATCTGTCCAAACTGGTGATGATTACAGAGAAGTATGTTTCGTCTGTAGTACAGGAACACAATTGATCACACACCTGTCCTGTGCCATATTTACACTGTCCTCCAGAGAGATGAATGATAGTTACTGTCTCCTAAGTCCCATAATCAAACGAAGCTTACTTAGAGCTGTTGACTGTCAAAGATCACGTGAGGGTGAGTGATTCCCCCTTTGTTTTGTGACAGAGGAGGGAATCGCCGTCAATTATACAGTTCTACCTTTAATACAAATAACGATGCAAACTTCTAAAAACCCTTTCTTCAGAAAGTATGTTTTGTATTATGTATTTGCTGACGAAATTTTGTAGAGCAGCATTTGTCACAATGGTTATTTTTAGTCGCCCCGTCCATCAAATGAACTTTGCTCGTGGTTGTTTTTCAGATTTAAACAAACGAATGAAGAATGGAACAAATTATCTTCAAGTTCATAATGGATATACTTAGGTTTTCCTATCAAACTAGTCGCACTTTGGATGACAGCGGTACAACGATTTCAAAGAAAAGATCTCAATATTACACCTCTGTATGCATACATGAAATATCGCTTGGTATTATAGATATTTAGAATATTGAAGGCCGAAAATGAAAATATACAATTAGTAAAAAATAAAAAATAAATTGTTTGGATAGTTGCATGTAAAGGGCACTTGAATGTAACATGTTGTCAACCACAAAATCAGAGAGACGCAGAATCTAAAGAAGGCTAATATATATATAATTATATATATATATATAACAGACCAGAGATAAATCTTTCTAAGTTCCAGATGAATACATCGGCACTTACAGATCCTTCCACACAACAAAGTCTATTGACTAGGATAACTAGTTGACATAAAAAACAATACGCCGCAGCAAGCCAGTAACTAAAAGGGACGAAGGGGCCACAGCCTCTCGCATATCTATGACTAAGTGTTAACAAAGCCTCGAATTTTTTCATTAAACCGATTCGTCACACTTTGCTGCTGGTTGTGTTATAAGAACTTGGATTTTATTGAGATAGCCAACTTAGGAAAATATTGCATACTGGCTAACACATTGTAAAAACAACGATATAACCCAAGTTATCAAGTCTGCATAAGTGAAGCTATGATATAGTGTACAAGCAGACTTTCCTACAAACCATGTTGACCAGCTAGGTCGATCAAACGAGCAATGCATATTGCTTTTCAATGTGTATTAAAGGAAAATCAATGCATGTCCATCTCGACATGGTGTTGTTATGAAATTGTTTAGTGTAACAGACATTATTTGATAAATATTCAGGTAATGAAGTTATTCTTGCGGAACCGTGCGTGTAAATAGGAAAAGTTTTCCTTGGTGATTAGAAACGACTTAAGAAGAGGAGGAATTCCGTCAACAAATGAAGTCGACTAGAGAAGAAGATGCAGGAATCACTTTAAAAGGAAACTGAAGGAGACATTATATCATTACAATGGTTGCAGTGTTCATCTATGTAGAAAATTCTGTATCAATATCACTACTGCAGTAAACAAAAGCAATACACAAGATGTAATATATTGATATTTATTTGTCACCATTCAATCTGAAATAAGAATAATGTGTTTGAATCAGGATATTTACAACAGAAATTTCAGAACAAGATATTTTTATGGCTGTAGACCATGATCTTGCATAAACAACACGATTTTAGCCACGGTACTGAAAATATGAAAACGTATGCATAACCTCACGTTTCTAGTTGATTTATTTCTAACATACAATGAGGAGGCCTGCTATAACAACCATGTTGGCCGCTGAGTATACATATAAAAGTCTTATAGTTAACGGAATAAATACTGAGTAAAGTCTCGCATCTGATAGTGCAAGCATTCAACAAACATCCAGCAATGTCATCATTCTAAACATTCCACTGAGCCGTCATCCTGCTTTGCAATGATCCTTCTCACATCAGTAGACATCACACCGAGCCATTGTCATACCAAAAACACACACAGCCATCAAGCTAGACATTCCATAGAGCCATCATCATAAAAACATCACACCAAGATATCATGCCACAACGTCATCATCCTACAACATCCACAAAGCATTCAACCTAGACATCCCAAAGAACCATCATCCCACAGACATTTAACAGTGTGATCGTCCTACAGATATACATGTACAAAAACAAACAATACAAAAAAAAAAAAAAAAAAACAAACCACCAAACAGATACAAAACACCACCATACCGATATCACACCGATTCCTTCTTCTAAATCCAGCAAGAGCTAGCCAAGCTGCGTGAATGAGACATATATGGGCAAAAGACATCACTTGTCTAATTATTATCATTATTACATTCTCAATGGCCCGTCAACACATAAAAAATCACTATGGTCATCAACCGGTAAAACATATAGCGATCCAAATGGAAATAGCATTAAACAAACCAAGAGGTAAAAAACAAATGCTAAAAATCTTAAATGGGTATATTAACACCAAAGATTAAAATGGTACGTCATAGTCAACTATATAGAACAACATATTTCGGGTAATGTAGAATGTTACAAATCTCAACAGTTTTTTTAGACATGAAATGTTACGATCAAAACATTCTCGAGTAGGCAGAATGTCAATGCAGTCCAATAGAAAAAAAATCGTTTAATGGCGAATGGCTCATCACATCCTGAGCACCGAGTATTATCTTCGCCTTTCAACATATATGAATATGGAGGTATGTGTGACCCATCCGATGACGGGCAAGGACAACTTTGTCTCTGTGGTTGTCTCTATAGTCTGGATACCATATACCGGTAACAGTTTGGCATTGGTATATCTAGTTGACTGCATACTCGATGGTTAATGTTAAAATAGGCTCGTTTTTGCATAGATATGTGCACTGATACACACACAAAAAATATACAAGTTTATCGGGCAAGAATCGATCACATGGGTGATTCGGCTTGCACACCAAAACATTTATATCCTCAAGATATATTGAACATCAGCGCTCGTCTATTGATGACAAATTTCATGTAAACACTTATTTTTTTCCATTTCAAGCTGCATAGACATCAATACTACGGTTAAGCATATGACTTTAACTATTCCATAATAAGTTTTATATTTTATCAGGTCAATGTGGGATAATTACAACTGGATTCCGGCAAATTGAATACTTCGACAGAGTTCAGTTGTAGCTATCCCCCGATATCCGAAACAAAAAATAGAGGCAGTCCTAATTTTAACAATTTCTCGTAAACCTAATTTTTGATATCTTTCATCTGTTCGTATTTCACTTGTTAAAAACAAGATCCAAACGTTGATACTATCTAGACTCCATAAAAGTATGACAATAAATAAGGATAAGGACATTATTTGATACGATGACGCAACCCTCATTCATAAAGTATAGGAATGCGAGAGAGACCATCGTTATTTTTTTTTATTTTAGAGTTGCTGCCACCTAGCTCACAAAATTAAAAAAAAAATTTCCCCATTTGAATCCAAGAAATATCTATGATTTGCTTCCACACATCAGTAACGATCCATATGAGTGTTTGCGCTATTTAACAATTAGCATCGCCTTTGACATTTGCGTTCCTACTGCTTGAAAAATACAGCTAACATTTTTTATCAAGAGAAGGTGGGACGCCGATGACAGGATAATTAGATTAGTATTATCACTATTATTCGAATAGTCGAGTTAAACTTATATTCTTATATATTATAAGATATGTTAAGATGTTATGAATAGTTGAGGGACTTTCCTCCAAAAACATTTACCATTCAGATTTATTTTTTTCATAAATTCCTACCTCTGTTGTACATAAAAGGATCCTTTGGCTCAATTCGTGTGTAACTGAATGTCTATCATCATAGGATTTGGTCGAAATGTCTTCATTGCAATAAAGGAAGATTCGTGTATTCTTATTTGTCTTGGACATTCCGCAATGACCTCGAGAAGATCGGATCTAATATAAAAACGGATGAAATCCCTGTATTCACACAGGAAAGACTCTTTATTCAGATTGCAAAAAAAAAAATTGTATGGCGTCAGCCCACCCGTCTTTTTGTACCGGGTAAGCTAATAAATGATAAAAACACTCAATGTGAAATATAAAATGCAAGCGAGATGTCATCTGGTGCAGAGTCTCATTGGCCAGTACAATGAAGGTAGCGTAATCAAAGTGACATTTGGAAATTTAGTGAAAGTGTTGTTATCACATATATTTTTGGTTCCAAAAACTGTTCCAATCAACAAAAAACAATCAAGAGCTATACGACTGTTTCCGCTGAAGCTGGATTCTGCTCATCATTCTGGGGGCATATAAATCACTCAGACTGTTGCCTAGGAAGCAAAACAATAGATAATGTTTACTTGTGCCAAACCAAAAAAATAAAATTTTCACAAATGCTAGTTCCTCATTAATGTGATATAAGTTATATAGCAGAGTTCCTTCGCTTCGCATAGAAATATAATTAATTATGTATGAAAGTAAACGGTATTGTATTCCATTTCAATAAATCAATATTTGAAAATAGCGAACATTATCGATTTGATAATAAAAATGAAACTGTCCTGATTATGGGAATGTTTAGCTATTTTGCTTGTAAAATTGTAATAAATAGAATATTTAATAGTAGTTTCAGTAATAACCAGTTTAACTCATTTTTGTGTCTGATGGTTTTCGTATTTTTCACTCGTGTTTCGCATTTATGAAAGATACTAAGGTATTACACACACTTTTTTTTTTAATTTCTGAAGACAATTTTCATTATCCTTTGCAGATAAACGTACAAAAACAAGGATTTGATATGTTTACGGTATACTTATATCATATACAAAATGCCATCAACAGATCATTTTAACACTAAGAAGAAAAGGGAAAAGAGAAATGGGGAAAGAATTATACCTCTGAGGAATAGCTTCATAAGGATTTGTTTCTCTGTTCCGTTGTAACTGTTCGTATGTGTTACTACAATAAAAGATATTTACAACTTTCATCTCTTTTTAGCAACATCAGTACGTGTCTTAAAATTGTAAAAAATCATATCATTGCAATGGTAGGTAAAGATGCAAATGTGGAAATTCATCTTAGTAATTAAGATTGTAACGAACTCTATATTTCTCCTATGCTAATACTGAAAGTGGAAGCAACACCAAAATCTCAGAAAGCATTTTCAAACTGTACGGTGGTATTGTTGAGTTATGAATGAAGACGAAAACATCCAAATACTTGTGTTGCAATATCATATAATATGTATAAGTAATGTAAGGCTACTTAGACATCGCATTTTATGAAATATTTACCTTTCTTCATAGGCCGGATTTCCTTGAGTATCTGAATCGAAATAGAATTAGGGTGTAAATTTATCTCGACTTAAGACTGTTACCACAATGCTATTTAACGTTCGATGTTTACAAATATTTACCGAGATCAATTGTATCGTTTAGTTGCAATTATCTTTTTTTCTAGAAATCACATTTTAAACGCTTTACCTGTTGATTTATTAGGCATTTCCTCATATACCGTCGGAGAGTCGACTTGCTCCAAGTTCAGGTCTTCGTACTGGCTACTAAGATATTATTATTATTTTTTTTTAATAACAGGCTATACATACAAAGTTATATTAATGGTAAAAGTGCATAACAAAGACGCAGCAAATGTTACTTTGTTTATTTGGACGAATATTTATTTAACATTCTGCTATTTAAAGCTGGTCTACTATTTCATTATAATTGATTAATAAGAGCGACATAGCAGTGCACCTATGATACCATGGATTTAAAACTTTAATAATTACTTTAGTCCTACGACTTTCAAAATGTGAATTGTTTTACTGACAGTAGGCTTATATTGTATTTCATCAAGTGAAATTTATACTTACAGGTCGATTTCACCTACAGCAAACAATTGAAAATGTCGGGTTATAAAACAATCGTTTTCTGAACGCTATTGTATGTCGAAAACGTTTAATACATAATATTAATACATGAATCAAATATGTTGATAAGCTGAACGTGAAATGCAGGCTGTGAGATTGTTTCAACGTAAAAACATACGATCCAAATTTAAGATATCATTTATGGAACAGGAAACATTTTGATGACCTATGCTTGAGCACTTTCATAATTTTGATAAAGAATTAATATGTCCACTGTTCATACCTGGTTCCGCTGCTACGTCGGCATGATATACAGATTTTTTCTTTGAAGACGTTTGCTTGCTACAAGATATAACATTATATCATATTATCATAACAGGCTTATAAGTATTTACATATCATTTTATTAAAAATGCATCTGTTTTTTAATTATCCTACAATTGGCCAAGGGGTCAGATGACAAGATACAGTGAACATGGAGAAAAAAAAAAAAAAAAAAAAACGTAAACTGCGAAAAACGACTTTGGTACCGTAAATGATTTCATATTCACCAATTTCAGCGTGGAAAATATTATACTCGGGGCAAATATAAATAGATAAAAAGATAATAAATAGATAAAATGTATTCCGGTTGAGCTTCGAACCTCCAGTTCAAAATTATACAGCTCTGGTACCCTAAATTTATCTGCTGTCAGCTCCACAGTACAGTAAAGACTAACCTATAAATAATTCGGTAATAACTTTCTATTTAAGAAAAAAAAATAGCCAAAATAAATTCCAGGTCGCTTAGAATCTTTGTAATATTGACTCTTTCAAACGTTCATATGCATGTTGGAGCGTTTCAAACAAAATAGCGGCTTTGGCGGACAGAAGACATGTATTTTGATTATATAGCAAATGTTTCTGCAATTAAAATTTGTACAATGTCTCCGTGTGGTCAAATCGTTTTACTTAGTCAATTGGTATTCTGATACGTTGTTGTATAGTCCCTAAGGTCATTAACATAAATAATGATATTATTAAATTGATGCTTAGTTAATAGTAAGCTAACAGGTGATAAGTATTTATATATTTATTTTCAGTCCTATGAGTCCGTTAAATGCTTCAAAAGTCGGGGTATAGCATTTTATAAAGATAAACACACACACACACACACACACACACACACACCCTTACACGTATTTGATACAAAGTCAGGACCTGGTTCCCAAAGGTAAACCAAGGGCACTCACATATAATGGTATTATCACAGTAATTGATGACTGCAAACAACGGGCTTGGAAGGTATACTCACCACATAATTTTCATTTAATCTAAGTAATTTAAATGCTTCATTACTATCATTTGAAAATGAATGAAAAGAGAGGACATTTGCGACAAAGGGAGGACAAATGTGCCTTAGATACAAAAAGAGGACGCGTGTGTGTTCATACAGAGGACGTGTGTTACCTCCAAAGAGAGGACGTGTGTGTACATACAGAGGACGCGTGTTACCTACAAAGAGACGACGTGTGTGAACATACAGAGGACGTGTGTGCACATACAGAGGACGTGTGTAACCTTCAAAAAGAGGACGTGACTGTACATACATGTTCTATACATATGTATGTATTACTTGGCTAATACGTTCATATTGACTATCCATAGAAAAAGATACATCGGTTAATATCCGTTTTCTATGCAGCCAATCGCCTTTGTTAATGTTTTCTTCTAGCAAATAGAACAGCATTTTGACCAAGTAAAAACTTCATAATTCTTTTACTGTATAGAAGAGGTCCATGGGCCTTAATGGTCACCTGAGTTCTGATGTATTTATACATATAATTGATATTTTGTTTTCATAATAAGAGAGATATCAAACAGGCTTCTTACCAGAGACCTAGCTATATAACCATGGTGATATATGTCTCTGCTCTAACCCAGCGACCAGGGGCGGATTTTTTCTTACCTTTGCCCAGTGACTTTGACCTTTTGTCATTTTACTTCTCGATTGATACCAGTCAATTTTGCTTTATCATGTGAAAACAACATTTATCAGTGACTAGATACCACATTTGACCTTGACCTTTCCCCCAGTGACATTGACCTTTGGTAAATTGGCTCCACGTTTAATTCTCACCAACCTTGCTCCATGTTATAATCAAATGTTTATCAGTGAAAAGATATCAAATAGTAAATTCAATCTTTCATTCCGTTTGATCCTTTGTCCCTGTTATCAGCCCCTAGGGGCAATAGTCCCTCTTATCAGCCCCTAGGGGCAATACTGTATTAAGTAACACAAAAGGCGAGATAACTCATTGAGGTTTATTTTTTATTATTATTTCTTTCAAATCGAATACAAGCACCACAAATAGATGCAATATACAGTGTAACTTGTCTAAACCGGATGTCATCAGGACCAAACTTTTTGGCCGGTTTACCCAGGTGTCCGGTTTGTAGAGGTCAACATTGCTTACATTTTCCATTGCTGGGACCAAACATTTTGGCTGGAATACAGAGAGATCCGGTTTACACAGGGGCCGGTTTAGACAAGTTACACTGTATTACCATCTGACAAAGATAAGAACAAAACATGTCAAAAATTGGGGGAAAAAATGAAATTATTTCCGTAAATTGAATCCGTCTCATTATTAGAACAACAAAAACAAAAGTCATTATCTGGTTTGCTGGCATCAGTTGCAGATGCAGGGATGTTGACCATTGACACAGAAATGTCAGATGCTGGTTCATTGGAACTGTATGTAGCAGTATCATCAGTTTCTGTCACAGGTATACTATCCTTCTGTATACTGGATACAAGATCATTTGGAGAGTCCTTTACATTTGTAGTATTTCTCCAGGGATATGGACCATTTCCATAGCAGTATAACAATTCCTCCCTTGGATGTATATCTCTGATGGCATAGAAGAAAATATGGGGCTCTCCACAAATCGGAACCATCTTTGGTTTCAGGTTTGGCTTCCTGTCATCATTTATCAGACGGCCCAGTGATCCATCATCATGCGTTGCATCTAACCTGTAAAAAAAAAGTTGGCATACCGCTAAAACTTTGTCATGTTTTGATTTCTTATTATAGATTTACTGAAAATCAGAAATGTTATTTGTAAAATTATCCCACTTCGCTGAGAAACCATGAACAAACAGATTTTATGCTCAAGTGAGTGAGTGTTCCAGGTATGTTGGACATTGTTTTTGACAGGAAAATCATGCACACATTACCCGAATAGAAGCATTTTTTTTAGCATTTTAAACCCAAAGTTGAGGGTACTCATATTACACAAGTGTGCACATTACATGGATTTTTTACTACTGAGGTCGGAAGTGGGGGGTGGGCTTATTACTGAGCATGGGCCTATTGGCGGACAAATATGTCAGTGAAAAATATTAATACACAGCAAGAGTTTTTTTGTGTTAATTATTTACTGAAGGTCACTAATTTAAAATGAAGACTTACAACAGGTTGTAGTATAGTGAAATCACTGTCAAATTGCCACATTGGCAGGGTTTTTGCCAGCTATTTTGGGAAAGGGACCCTGAGCAAAAATTGGGAGAATATCATCGGCATTTTCCACAAATTGGGAAAATATCATTGGTATTTCATAAATTTTGGGAAAATACTAGTAAGTTTCACCAAATCCTTTGAATCCTTCACCAAAATCTTTTTTGTGTAGTATTTAGAATTATGTGACAATACCATTAAAAAACATGTCAATGTACCGTAAACGCTTTGCATTCAAGTCCTTATACAACGTGCAATTTAAACGCAGATATGATTTGACTTCCCAGCGCACGCTCACCAATATACGTGTGTACATTTGTGTAGTTGAAATTGGGAATGAGTCCGTGTACCGGACCCTATAGATACCTGGCAAAAACCCTGATTGGGGTCTCTAAAATGTAGACACCAGGGTCTACGATCTAATTAAAGCTGGTGAACACGACAAATTATTTCCATATATTATGATATGATTAAAGTCACCATTTTAATGCTAGCCAAGGCACGGTCCCTTATTTCTGTCAGGGCAGAGTTCTTACATTCATCAATACCAGAACTTTATGAAGAGTCGATAGAACATTAGAATAATTTGGAACTAGTAGTATGTAAGATGTGAATGTCATTGGTAGTCAAGTTTTACAATACAAGTATAAATGACCTTGACCCACTTTTAAGGTCACAATAATTAAATATGTTAAATCTGTAAACATCCTTTTCTAATTTATATAACCAAATGTCTCAAAATGCTAATATTAGCGTAGCTCTTACTGTGAAGGGCAAATAAGCCCTAGTGGTGAAAAGCCTGTAAAATTCTTTCCTACAATTTTTTAGTTGTTTATTGTTGTTTTATGTCCTATTGACAGCCAGGGTCATTTAATGAGGTGCTAGATTGAGTTCATACACCACTTAACACTGATGTTTTGGTCGTTTTTACCACCGAATATTGGCGGCTTCCCCTAGCCAAAAAAAGGTAAAATTTTCCCAAAACTGATGGTAAAATTCCCAATTGATACCTGACTTTATTGATGGCGGTGAATATTTCTGATATCCTACTAATTGCCAGTTTCTGCCCAAGCACCGTAAGTGTTTGTTTTTGTGTGTTTTTTTTTTCTTAGATGTTCAAGCGTTTACGTGAGCCCAAAATCATTAGTACGTTTGAACGGAACCCGCATTCTGCCTATTAAGCAGATGATTCGAGAACTGAATTCAACTTAAATACGACACCTATACAAGTTGTACTGAACAACGCAAACTATATTATAAGAATCTATTCTCAAATTCTGTCATGTTAAAACAGTGTGTTGTGACACTAACTTGCTTAATTATCGTCCCAAAGTGAAACAAAACAAAAACATGGGTGCCACCATTTTGTATGCTGGGATGAGACTAAAAACAAGATCTGAGGTGGAATCTAGACGGAACATGCAGTACGAAAATTACTGATTAAAGACAAAGAAAAACAAGAGCATGTGGATCTCTTAAAAATTTCAAAACTAGGAAAGTTTACCTGTAATTAACATTACGGAACTATAATGTGGCCATTTATTTTCAGGAACCTTTGAAATGATTACAGCACGAGTACTCGGTCAATATAAAAACATAGGAATTTTTTTCGGCCAATATAAAAACATAGAATTTGAAAAAAAAACTTTGTTTTGGCTTTAATAAGTAATTTTTAATTTTCCCAATTTCCTGAAAATGCTGCTTTAAAAAAAACTGCACTAACACTACCTATGTAAATGTTCTGTTGGGCACTTGGATGGATTTTGTTCTTAATATGCAATGGTCTACCTGCAAACTATGCCCAGCTGAAATTAGGACACCATGCAATAAACCAGGATGCTATCTTACATACCAGTACTGTTTGCCTTTGAAGACACATTCAAAAATATATGTGTCATCCTCACTTTGATGTGGTTCATCTGTCCTTATGACACCACAATACTCCAGCACAGTGTCCCCTTTTGGTATATATTTTTTGCCAGCACACCTTTACCTATGGGAAAAGAATACATTTTGATATTAAATTCTGCATATTTAATTTGTCAACTTTAATCTTAACACACAATATCTAATGACTGATGCTAGCTCAAATAAATCTCAGTCTGAATACATAATATATAAGTTTAACACAAATTAATCAGAATTGTATAATGAATTAATTAGATGATGATGTGACATATGTAAATAATGTACTGTCCTGAACACTATAAGTGAGATTTATAAGCACTAGGATCGGCAGTTAAATTTCTTATTTACTACATCATTTATACCATCAAGTCCTTGTGCAGTTGTAAATCATTACTCTACTCTTCTATTCTGTAGTTTTAGCAAAAAAATCATTCTTGAAGTAAATCGACATGCATGAAAAAGAAATAAAATATATATTAAACACTTTTCTTTATCTGACAATATATTTAATGATCCTTTTAAATTGTTCTGAATGGATTTTCAATACAAAAGATGCTATACCTTTTTTTGGTATATTTACAATGATGAAGTCATCAAGTGGCCTTGTCTTTGGACCATTACTCTTTTTCTGAAAAGAAAATATATTACACAATTATAAAAATCTGTTAAGATTTCAAGAAAAATCTCTCAAAAATGGGGCTATACAGAAATTGATGGTTAAAAAAATTAGGCTGACATGAGTTCCCGGACACGGGTCGGGTTTGAACAGTGACCTGTTTCAAAAATGTCTACCCGAGTACACGTCAAAATAGGAAATATTGGTCTTATGTCAATGTTACCAGTAAAACTTTATTAAATCAATAAAATTTCTTACTCTGATGAGATTACACTTTCTGTATCCAATATGTTCACACGCAACAATGTATTACTAATGTTTATACTCACACTTGTATTTCATTACGGAAACCGGAAACCGTCACCTCTGGCTCAAGTGGCCATGTGTACTTGAAACCTTAATCATTGTCGTATACATGTATAAAACTAGCTAGAGACTTTCCGGATCAGAATTGTCATGTGACTGCTACTTTCTGTTGGGCATATTATATGCAAATTGATTTCTTTATATTCTGTCACAACGTTAGCATTATAGACCCTAATCCACTCGTTTACACGATGAAGTTTTGCAATGAGTAAATACGATTCTACATGATTTTATCACCTCCCCCCCCCTCTCTCTCTCTCTCATATGAGACTGTATCAAGCCCCACACTACACGTAGGTAAATTTATCCTCTCCGTGCATGTAACACTGTATGCATGTAGACTAACGACTCATGACTATTGTTGGGTACGGGTCAGGTATTGAAATTCGAGTACTCGGGGCCAACATTTTGTACCCGTGACAGCCTTAAAAAATCTAATAGCACTAGGAACAAAGCTATGTTCTCCTACAAACTTCCTTTTGTTCTTATACAAATTACATTCTGCTCAACAAATTTCATGCAAAACAAGTAGATACCAGACATTACAATACACTATCACTTGTAACCTTGTAAAATTGATGGAGTTTCTTTTTGTGATATTTTATTTATCGATTGCAGGAAGTAGTCATAGTATTACAATAAGAGTGGACCAGTATTCAGATCCACAATTCAGGAATACATGTTTTTTTTTCTTTCCTTTTTTCAATACAGCTGGAGATAAGTTACATGTATAATGAATTTTGACAAGTTAAATGTGTTCTCTCCTGGCTGCTTTACCAGACAATATGTTGGACACAGATTAAACTACTGCAGTTTAGCATTATACATGCATGCATCAGGTGCAATTTCAAAATTGCAGTGGGGGGGAAGTAAAAAGTCCTTATCATCCATTGATATATAATATATTACAGTCAGCCCACTCAACCCAGACACTAGGGCACTGGCTTATAATTATATAAACAAAGGAGGTGTGAACCACCTGTAATCGGCCTAACCCCTTAATTAAGGCAAGAGTAGTCTGAAGGGTTCTGACTATCTCACCACGATTTTATTTTTGACATGGTCGCGGTCAATAGTTAGAGTATTCTTCCTTACAAAAAAACGCGAAATTTTAGCGACCCCTGCAAGGGTCGGCGTTCAAGCAATATTTTAGATAATTCATGACAACGCGATATTTATAAATTATACGTCGATGGAAAGATAAAACATTTTTCTACCTACAGTGTACGTGCATATGTATCAAAACAATTAAATGTTGTAAACTATGTATACTTACTTCCACTTATTTTATTATTTGGAATGGCCGTCACTATGCGGAATCTCTCTAGATTTGTGTTTGTAAACATAGCAAAAATAAATGAGCGGGAATGTCAAGTTACAATGACAAATCTAGAGAGATCCCGCACAGAGGCGGCCATTATAAGCAAGTGAGAAATAAAGTTGTTGAATCAGGCTATTTTTAACAAAGTTAATTCAGTTTTAAATGTTGGAAAGCTATATAATTTTTCATGGGGGCTAGCTACCGTTGTTAAGATAAAATGTGACAGATAACTTACCTCTGTTAAAGAACGCAGTCTTTTCGTAAGAGGCATAGCGCCTCACTCCTCGGAGAGGCGCAGCCGATGTCAGCTTATGTATTGTTAAGAAAAAGAACACGAAACGAAATGTACTTATCTAGCTCGTAAGATATAACTTGTCTCAAGATAAAAAATATTGGAATGCCATGTTTTATTTTGGTATATACATATTGCTGTCCGTATACTTCTATTACAGTAAGAGTAAGCGAGAAAAAAGGTTGCGCGTCGCTTCTTTTAACATTGAAATTTTAATACGCACCCAAAAGTTTTTCCCGCCAAGTGTGTAATAAGTTTAATGAAAGTTAAACACACCATCGATATTTTTGTGTGAAGAGCATCACACACTGCCCAATGTTTGGACAAAGAAAGGACGGGCTTTTTTGAAAAAAAATGAAAATTTATTGCTGAATAAGGAAAATTAGGAGGTGGAAAAGAGAGGACCTCCAAAATGTCCTCCCTTTACGAAAGGTCCTTTCTTTGTTGGTGTTGATTCTAATGAAAGTCCTCTGTTTCCCCCTTTACAGACGCACATACAATCACACACACTGTGTGTGATTATATATGTGTGTGTGTCAGGAATCGATTTGGGTACATTTTTTGTATTTATCAATTTTATACGAGAAAAGTAATATAAAAATATATGTGTATGTATCAAAGTACCAGTTTAGTTTCGAACTCTCACAGTTTGTTACTTCTATCTGAATGATGCCGTCATCGTGAAGTAACCTAACCTTGCCATTGACGTGGATGCAACGGCTACATAAAACATTTATTATAAGATCTACAAAGTGAAAATACATATGATCAATTAATATAGTTTCTTATTCACTACTTATTCTAAATCGTGCTGTTATTTTGGTACGGCAAGCCAGGAAGCAGACGATGTTTTACAGTCGTTATAATGATCTCATTTTGAAAAATTGTTATAATTTTTGTGATAAGAAGCTGAAGTTTGCATGTTTGTTCCGTTGTTTTATGCCAAATTCTCATTTTAAAACATATAGTTATGATAACGCACAACGCGCCCAAATTCTGTGTACACACGTACAATACAGTATCTTGCACTCAACTATGTGATAGAATCTCACATTTTGTGCGGCCTAGTAAAACTGGTTGGCTAATATTACGTATTGAAAGTTAAACACAAAATTCGTGAAGTTATTAGCTAGCGATCACATGAACATTAAAATTGATAGGTGATTATGAAAGTCATTTTCAATTCAACATTTTTCGAAATAAGACTGGGCCGGCATTAATTGTTATGTCGTTTATAGTTTCACACCTCATGACATTGGCGACTAGTAGTGCCTTTGGCAACTAATGTATACCTGTATACGGGTATATACGTGACAGGTCCTGATCCGTACCGGCTTGGTCACCCAAACATAGCACTTAAGATATACATGAGCATGTTTTTGTTTACAAAATGAATATTTTGAAAAATGAGAGTAATACAGAAGTAATAAAAATGAAATTTCCATTTTGATGGTATGATATCTAAAACGATTCATTGCTGTGACATAAAGAGGCGTCAATTTAATGTTTACATATACCATGTGTATATGATTTGTGTCGGTGCACTAAGGTTGGTCGCGTGTGACTACTTAAAATTACGAGTGTATCAAGCTGTTAAGTGTGTATCTGATATATTTACAAGTGTTCAACCTATATATCAATGGCTTAATTAGGAAATTACTTTTATTCTTAGATATTCATAAAATGAATTAATCTTACTCAACTCTTCTTTTAAGTCATTTCTAAATTTATATAAACCGCACACATGTACGATAGCTTATTTCGTCCAATTTTCATATCGTACACACATCATGCAAACACCAAGCGCACATCGCACATCGGGTAACGTTGTGCGATCCCACAACTGAAGCACTTGAATTGACCAACGTTTACTTGGCGAGTGCTGTCGATGAAACTCAAGACGCTTACTTTTCTGGAACATCTGGTCTTATTCTTGTACTTTTTCATGAGTCTCCGTGTAATTTTGTTTTCTTTTTTTTCATTATTTCCCTTAATTGTATTGACTTTGAGTATGGACTATCATTATGTTGACATGTTGGTATTGTCTTGCTCTTTTTTTGGAACTAAACTGTTATTTTCCCCAAAACGTGATTTTTTTGCATTAATATGACAATGTATTTGAATCATTAAAACAAATAATATAGTATTTATGACTCAAATGATATGAAAGAGCAAAAAACCAAAGTAATAAAACACACCAACATGGTGGCGTAACAAAAAGCAGCTGATACATGAATTGGAGATTATCTAACATATATTTCGGCAAGTTAACATTGCACCGATGGATCCTCTAACTTAGTAACGATAAACTCAGATCAATTGATGTTTAATCGCTTCGGCCAGTAACATGAAAATTAGTATTATCCTATAAATACTCATGCAAACTCTGGATGTGTTAGGCAAGCATGAAAAGCATAAACGGCAAAGAACAAACACGATAAAATATGTAATCCCTATCTATCTGTTTTACTGTTCGTTTGTATGTCCCTTTAAGAATCTGTATAGATTCCAACATTTCAATAACAGAGAGAAAAATTTGAATGCGATTTTCACAGAGTGTTTGTAATTCACTATCTACAGCAAAATACAAAGCAAAATATATCAGATTAACTTTGGCGTTCATTGTTTGCTTAATATTTTCGTTCCTCCTTTTTCTTCTTATATTCAGTTCAAAATAATGATGGGAGATCTTCTTTAAGTATCAGACAAATATTTCTAAATTGCAACACTTAACGTCAACGTTAGAAAAACATATGATCTGTCACATTCACTAATGATATTAATAATGGAATGACCTAATAAAAGAAAAGGCAAAAAACACATTGATAATAGTGAAGCATCCATTGATTACTTTTTAAAGATAATAATCTTGAACTGAATGAAAAGCAGTTAGTGCCATCTCATCATTTTATGCTTTGATCAAGCTTAAAGATATCGGTATAAGTTTTGAAAGAGATCCCATTTGTGCTTTCAAAGAGAAAGGATGACATTTTTTTCTCCGTAAGAAAAATGCATGCTAGTTTCACCAAATGAACAGACAATTGTACACAGTACTTAACGATGTGATTGAGAAGTCAATACATTTTTTTGGAAACAGATAATGGTTCGCGTGTAGTGTGTGTGTGTGTTTTTGTTTGTTTGTGTGTGTTTGTGTGTGTGTGTGTGTGCAAAATAATGGATCTTACGTAAACGGCAAACGTCTTTTCCCTGTACAATGAAAACAATAATGATAAAATGTAAATGTATAATATGAACAAATATATAAAGCACTACCCAACAATCTCGTCAAAGTATTTAATTTAATATGATGGCTTCATGCATAAGAAAACAACCATTTTTTCCAAGACAAAAATATGCAAATATTATTTAATTACCGTACTTTCTGTAAGTACCGAAATAGGTTTGATATGGTATAATGAACCAAAAAATTAGAGAAATCATACCACATCTGCAAACAACGCCAAAAACCGATGACAATGCATTTTCTGAAGGTTGAACACATAAAATTTATATATAAGAAAAATATCTTTAATATCATTAAGGCTAAACTTACTTAAAGTAAACAGCGCAACAGCCAACACGGATAAACTCATCAGGATCATTACAGATCCGACAGATATCAGGATGACGCCAGTATTACTATACTCTGGTAATAAACCTGTCGTAAAACAAAGATAAATGTCTTTGATTAGCTTTATAATTCTTTTTAACATACATGTTTTATTGTTTGTATTATAAGAACTTATTTTTCTGATATATTTGACTAAACCATATTAGCAATGTATTAGTAAAGTTCAATCTTTGTGATAGAATACAATATGTGTAATCAGATAACATATTACGTTGTTGATATACCTGATCATTACAAAAACATATGGTGATATTTGCCTCATAGTCACGCATACTATTGAGTCACATTAATTTTCCAAAATCATTACTTGACACTAACATTTATAAATCAATGCATATTTTCTCTATTGGAAAATTTTATTGGTATACCTGCTGTTATAAATGTCCCCGAAATGGCTTCACTGGACCCATAAGCATTGATAGCAAACACAGACACATCATACTGTGTTGCAGGCAGCAGTTGCTCAATCGTATAAGATGTAATTTCGCGGTCTAAAGTAACATACGTTGTTGAGTCACTGTTGAGTTTTTGGTATGTCAATGTGAATGTCTTGGAATTTTCATTTTCGTTACCCGGCCTCCATGATACAACAGCTTGGCTTTGTGTGATTTCACTAATCACTAATTGAACTGGGGAATCAGGTTTTCCTTGAAATGTCGTTGTTTTAACAAATGTATTTACAAGAAACACTTTATATACGCTTATCTATAGTAGTCATATATATTAATCGTAAATACAGTAGTTTATAATATTAAGGAAGATTACTGGTAATCATGTTACATGAAAGCTTGTGATAATCATGTTTTACTCTGTTTTGCTTACTTGGTAAATGAAAAAATAGATTGGACAATTACCCAATTATACCTGGATGAATACTTATATCACAAAAACACATTGGTTACATGACGATATACCAAGAGACCTCAACCTTCAAGCCACTGCTTACCAAAGGCAATAAAACCTAGTAATTATAAATTTCACATGTGGATACATCATTTTTATTGAGTTAACGTCATTGTGAATGTAAATATAGCAATACATTGATTAACATAAACTGACGCATTATTCAATACACAACACACTCACCTGCTATGACGATTTCAAAGTTGTAGTAGTAAGTGAACACATTCCTTACATAGAGTTGGTATTTTCCACTGTATTTTGACTGAAAGTTGCTGAAGTGTAAATGAACTGAGTATGCGTCCACTGAAACACCCTTGTTATAGAATGATACTGTTACTGAGACAGATGACACAGTGACAGATAGTTCATTTGAAGGAGGTAAAACTGAGTCTGGTCGTAAGATGGATGTGTTGACAGGCGCAGGGAAACTGATGTAGGTTATATTGGCATCGAAAGCAATGTTCGTTTCTGCTTCATATCTATTCTGATTTCCGAATACCCGTGGACTGCCTATCACCAAAGAAAGGTATATTGGTTTGTAAATGCGAGCAAAGTTCCGCATGAAAGGAGATATTCTATCAAAGATAATACTATATCGAGGTCACATATACCACGTCTATAATTTGATACATTTTTTAGTGTGTGTGTGTGTGTGTGTTCAACATGCATAGTTCGAACTTATACTTGTAATTGAAACACTAACGCTGTAAGTTAAAAAAACAACTTACTAAGTACATTATGTACATGCTATTTTATTCGAGACAAATATAACATCTTGTCTCTGTGACTTTTACCAAATTTCAAAGACGTTTGATTATTGACTTGATACTTCACCTGTAATTGTCATGACACCTTGCTCTGTCTGTACAATCTGACCATCCCTTCCTCTGTATCCATTTTCCGCCTCACAGATATATGTCCCCATGTCCTGGTAGCTCACTTGTGGAATCGTCAGTGTACTGACTGAACCTGAACTTGTCACATGGTCAAACGTATCTCTTATGACTGTATACCCCACCTTGTGTATCCATCTGTATGTGTACTGGGCAGGTACACCATTAGCAGTACAATTCAGACGAACATCTGTCATATTTTCTGTAGTATTTTTTATAGCAAGACCCACGTCCGGCCCATCTGTAATACAACATAATCACATTAACTAGCTGAACGACAAGAAATAAATTTCACAATATCAACATGACATTAATACTTCTGAGACTGTTTTATATCCAGTGTGAATTTAATTTTCCTCGTGCTAACTGAGTGAAAGATTATATGGATTGTACATTTGATGCACTTCAAAGTGAACACCGCGAAACCTTGTAATAAACCAGAAATAACAAGATAATGAGCAAAGACATTGTTAAACAATGCTTACTTTCCTCTCAATTTATGAAGAGGACATTAATTCGATTGAAACCGGTAAAAAACTCTTGATAAAATTGCAAGTTGTAAAAGTTTTTGCCTTTCATAGCTAGGGTGTAAAATGTTACATCAGTTTGCGCTCATGATAATTTTTTTTCTACATTCCAAATTCAAATCACTATCATGCAAACCTGTTTCAAGATAAATTTTGATATCTCTATTGTGGATGCTGATTCAGATTACAAAACATGATGAGGAGTCAAGCTTTTAAATCTCATTGGCATTCTAAATTCCAGTTTTCTTTAAATGGATGAAGCATATGGTATCAAAATTATAAAGGCTTATCAAAGGGTTTGTCACTCATAGAATCTAAATATTGATATCATATTGTTCTAGGCTAAGTATCCTTAATGACCATTTGAAGGTATTTAACATTTCTTAAACCAAATTACAGTAAAAAAGATGTACATGCACATTGTTTGACGATTCTTTGCAAGAAAAATGATACGTGTGTAATGAAAATTAAGGTAAGACAATCGACTGTATCCTTCATCACAAAATTATTTTGCTTACATTGTACAACAATGGTGAAGGATTCAGAGGACTGCAGTAAGATGTTGTTGTTTGTGGAGCGTGCTGTTGCAGTACAGAGATATGTCCCTGCGTCCTGTCTGTCTATCTTAGAGAGCTGGAGCGTTCCCTGGGACTGGACGAGAATCGTGTCACGATACCAGGACACAATCGGGGTAGGATTACCATCTGCTGAACACGTTCTACTGAACCCCAGACTCTCGTTAATATAGGCTGTAGACACATCTACTGTAACGATTGGATCATCTGTAATTCAAAGCATCATACAATATTACAAATAAATTATATTTTCATTCACCTCCAACTTTGAGCAATAATAAGTGTCAAGATGTTGACCAATATTGTTTAATCTTTGAGATCAGCGTAAAATATTACGAATCACTAATCGTATGATATTTCATTCAAAAAATTATAAGTATATGTGACAGGTTAGGTTAACACCATTGATATTCATATTATTTTTCGTTAAAAATTTCACCAAATTCTTGTAGTATCTACATCAGTAGGGTCTTTATCTCATTGCAATGAGAAATGCACATATGGAAAGTTTCCCGACAATTACATGTTCATTTGTAGATATACTAAAGAATTATTTATATAGAAAAAAATATTGGGAAACCCGTATGAAACAACGTCCCGTCAGTATACATAAGCAGAAATGTTTCCACTACTCCCAAAAGGATACAATACAGTATACCAGACACTCTTTAAAATTAGATTAAAGTCAAGTTATAAGACAGAGTCACAACTCCTGAGACCTGGTCTTCAAAACCCGCAAAACATGTTTTATCAGGGCACAGTTAAGTTGTACGTGTTACATCACTGGTGAAACTAAAGAACAAAAGATGTCTGACCTCAGAAGTTGTGGCTCATTCTTATACCTTGTTCTTTATATCATTATTTAGTTATTTAAAAAGGCATGAAAACTTATAAATCGGAATTGCTCTTTTGTTGTGCAGATGAAAAAGAAATAAAACCTTGTCTCACTAAGTTAATCTCTGTAAACAAACTGAACAAACAAAACCAATCTAGCATGCTACAGACTCGTATTTATCCGTACACTGTGCCTTTGGTTATTAAACAGCCATTTGAAGATTTAAACTTATTAGACCCCACTGACCTTGCAAGTGGCTCAAGGTCAATCATTGGAACCAATTTGATATTTTTCATCCTGCCATGGCACAAACCTGATATCAGCTGCCTATGTCTTTTGTTTATTGACAAGTTCTTTTTAAAATTTAACTCATTTGATTCCTTTGACCTTGAACAAGCAATCTACAATTTCAAGACCTAATTTTGAGAAGCTGTTTGAACGGTAAAGTTGATTCTGGACAGCTGTGGGGAAGATGAACATATTAAGGATACAATGCCACAACAATTGGCCTTCAGGCAGGTGAGCTAACGAATGTTAAGATTTTGAAAAGCAGATGAACGTACCTAAAACCCCAATATTCCAGTTGATTCATCAAACAAGAGTCCCAATGGGCCTGTATCGCTAACCTTGAATTAGGTGTTTTTCACAAATATATTTGTTATTGACATTCAATGTGTCTCTCTATTAAATTAATCTAAATAAATGTTAAACAACTATACAGTGAACATTTATCTACAACAGATGGATCCTGTTGATGACTTCAGTGTTTTAATAGATCTGAATCTTGTGACCTTGGATAATTGTCAAGGTCAGTACATTCATAATATCTGTGGACTTTATCCCATTAATTTACCAGCCAGATATAATTGATTCCAGGCCTTTCAGTAACTTGGAGGAGGCTCTGTTTCAGCTATATACCTACTGTGACCAATTTGAATATGAGTCAAGGTCATTGCCTTTCACAAATTTTGTTTGCCTCAATACCAGAAACTTATCAGCCAAATATCATGAATTAAGGTATTATTTGGGTATTTTTTAAGATTATTTGAACGCTGCAACCTTAATCATGGGCCAAGGTTATTTTTTTATCAAATGTAATTTCCCTTTAATTGTGTATAACATGTTAAATCAAAACTTTTGTTAATTCTTACATTCAATGTTCAGCATTATCCCATTAGACACTGTATTGGTGCCCTTAGTATCTGTGAAGTTGTTATCAGCTCTACAGGTAAAGGTATGTCCATTATAAAGCTTATCTGGTGGATCAAATCTCCTGGTAATCGCTGATTGGCTAGTATCAATGACGTCATTGATGTACCATGATATACGTGTTGTAGGGGGATTCCCTGGTGATGCGGTACATGTCAGTATACCAGTAAATAATGGTCTGTCCATCCAAGGTAATCTTCCACCATTAGTCGTGTCTACAGCTAGAACAGGTAAACTTGGTGGGTCTGGAATATAACAGAATTACCTTCGTTTACTTTCTTCAATGATATTAAAACTATAATGAGTAACAAAGATGTTAATGAACTTAATTGAACATTAAACATATCGATAATGCTATTGTGTTGAGATTCTGTGACATGCCTACATACAGTATATAAAAAGCTGATGGTTATAATACACTATAATCAGGGCCACTTTGGTGAGACTTGGTTACAAGTCTATATACAATATATATATATATATATATAATCAAGTTATAGCAACAGTAATATATAGAAGGCCCTAAATTGTCAACTCGCTCAAAATTCAAGGCATCTAACATCATATCACCCACCTATCCGCCAAATTTTAAAATTATCATTTTTCTTATTTTTTCCCTTCCTCTCTCTCTCTCTCTCTCTCTCTCTCTCTCTCTCTCTCTTTAGTTTTTTCGAATGAACTCTCGTTATTGTACTTTTTATTTAGTTGCTGATTTCCTTCCTTTAAATCCATAAACGCTAACCCAAAAGTGGATTTTTTTTAGTTTGATAGGGCGAGGTGACGATTTTGGGGACTCTTTGAATATATGCAAAATTGTAATTTGATATAGATATATTTTTATTGCATTTAACCAGTGTGTTTAATCAAATTATTATTTAATGTAACAACACCTACATTCAACACTTTTTACAATAAACAATTCCTCATTTAGAAAGTAGCAGAGATGTACCGGTAGACTATAGTCCTCAGAGTGTGACGTGCAATTGTTTTCGTTGCGATCACATATCTGTTCAGTTCACTTTGGTGAGACTTTGTAGCAAGTATATATATATATATATATATATATATATACTCAACAAAAAGAGAAAGGTTAACATGTTTCCTTGGCGAATACCTGTAAATGAGTGAAAACAAAATGACGTTTGTGCAATATTAGAAAATGGTAATGTTTTACATTACAAAATCCAAGGGGGTTACCAAAATCGCTTGAATTTCATAAACATTCAAACTGACAACTGTTCCTTAGATCCCTAGGACCGAATCTTGCTATCTATCAACTTTATCATTATGCCCCGGCTGTCACAAGTACAGAGAGAAAGGTCTGTAAGCATGATCCAGGCTTGGCAGTCTCGGCGTCGAGTTGCACGGCATTTTGGTTGCAGTGTTAAGACAATTTGCCAGTTGGTAAGTCGTTTAATCCAAACTGGGTAAACATCCGACGGCCGACCCCGTAAAACGACCGCCAGGGATGACCGTCGTATACGATTGATACACTTGCGCAAGCGATTCGTAAACGCAGTAGAGACTACAAGGACATTGTTTGATTCATTTGTTTCATTCAAGCGAATATACTAGTTAGTCGCAGAAAACCTCGTGCAGCTCTTTCGCTTATATAGACTTTCACGCTTGAGTGATTTTGGTAACCCCCTTGTATTTTGTAATGTAAAACATTACCATTTTCTAATGTTGCACAAACGTCATTTTGTTTTCACTCATTTACAGGTATTCGCCAAGGAAACATGTTAACCTTTCTTTTTTTGTTGAGTATATATATATATGATACTTACAATATAATGTGATCAGGGCCACTTTGATGAGACTTGGTTACAAGTCTTTATATATATATTATAATACTTACAATATACTGTGATCAGGACCACTTTGGTGAGACTTGGGGAGAAACCAATATGGGTAGCAGTGCATGTACACTGCCTGTTGTTATAGTCTGTAGTTACAGAGGTAATGCCTAATCTGCTGACCGCCTTAGTTTCTGTGTCCATGTTAGTGGATGTCTCCTTTAATTGGTTGACACAAATCCAGGACAGGGTGGCCAGAGGGTTTCCTCCATCTATCATACAGTCTAGATAGACATCATCTCCCACATAAAATGGTGTAGTGAAAACAATAGAAAACGTTGCTCGATCTGGTGAGTCTATCAAAATGTAAATAAAATCTGATATCAACAGTTAATGTTCAAAACAAAAATTATTCAAAAACTTTTCAGTTAATTCATATTTCAGTGTTAATGGTACTTCATATCTAGGGATTAAAATTAGTTTCTCAAAAGTGAAAGAAACGGTCCATATCAACAACTGAGCTACCATACTGTGGCATAAATAAACATATTAACAATTAATTGGGAGGTATACAAATATAATAAGTTACAATATACAAATATAACAACTTACAAAGAACATTAAATATAATGCTGACTGTATCAAACACTCCACTAGGACTGGTCGGGTGAACGGCGGTACACACACACTGTTGTTGGTGGTAGGTTCTGTCAGCTGTGAAGGTCAGAGTGGACACTGCTGTGGTGGCATTGGTCAGATCCTGTCCGGTCACTGATGATCCTTTACACTGCCAGGTCAGTGTGGCCAGAGGGTTACCTCCCCTTACCTGACATTGGAGAGTTACTGATGTACCGGTGAAGATGGATTGTGTACCAGATGGTGTCACCATTAAGGTTCCTGTTGGGGGATCTAAAACAAACACAATTTCAAAATTATATCTTAAAAAACCTTCCAAACTTAATTGTCACAGAATTTCAGCACATGTTCAAGAATCCAGAGTAAATTGGCAGGAGAGGACATAATATACCTATCCTATTTCATTTAGCTCTACTGTTTTGTAAAAGGTAAAATGTATGTGAAAGGATACAAAGTAGTAAAACACTACGTCTGTCAAGTTGTAACTTCACCTTGAAATAACCTTAAAAATAGCAAGAGATACTAGCCACACATTGATCACCATCAGATGTCGGGCTAAAATAAGAAGAATGCATAACTATCAAGACCAAGGGGAATCTACATATTTCTCTGGAAAATAGAGACAATAACTTCTAATTCATGATGACCACTTTTAATTTTTTCTGGGGACAGTTGTTTTTACCAATAAAGGTAATAAATACAGCTCAGTGAAACATGTTCAGGTGGTTAAAATGTGTTCTCCAAGATAGCAGTCATTTTGGAGTTAAAACTGACCTAAAAATTAACAACCCTTAAGCATTAACATCTCAAGATCATTAAAGTTCATATAGTCGTGAACTACTGATCTGAATATTTCAGCATTAATTGAAAGGTTTATACCAACCATTGAAAAAAATACCTACATCCAAACAGAAACAGGATGATTAACCTTTTCCCATATCGGACCCTGCCCTTTGTGGAACATTGAATTACATAAAGTTGAATCCCTCTCACACAAGCATATCTAAAGCAAAATTTGGTCAAAATACGTGCAACAGAAGAAAATGCATGTAACATCTCACTACCCTATATTATCAGGCCTTTCAACCTTCAGGTAGGTGTGAACAACTGTTCACACAAAAGTAAGTTTATTTCACCCAAGAATGCTTCATACCAAATTAGGACAAAATGCAAGCACTCTTACAGAAGAAGATTTTTAAAGAAATGAATAAATTTCTAGTTTTAAGCCCAATCCCGCAGGCCAACTATTCATATAGAATTTGTTCTGTTCCTCACAAGATACCTTTAACTAAATGTGGTAAAAAATACATTTATTCCAACAGATGAAGACTTTTAAAGTGATTCCTCCATTTCGCTTGTTAGGCCCTATACCTCTGTCCCCAGAGGTGTCAGCACAACTGGTCATACATAATCCAGCATCTTTGACACAAGAATGCTTCAGACCAAATTGGACAAATCCTTCAATTCCTACAGAAGGATTTTAAAGAGTTTGGTACTTAGGATATAGCAATATAAAACTTAAAAATAAAACAGCTTGTGTCTCTCCGGTTTCCCGATCGACTTTACTATTTCGCCGCTGAGTCAATAGTTTTATATCTTCCACCAGCTTTTTTTCGGTATTCCGGATTTTTCTCCAATGCCCGTTTTGGTTTTTGTACGCGAAACTGTAAATAATCACCAAGACGTTTGCATTGATGCACAAAATCACCAAAAATTGATATTAAAATGGAGAAATGTTGCCATTCACCAGAAAAACAGGTGATGACAGCTATTACAAACGAGACTAAAGTCCGTGATGCTTTTCGCCAATACCACGGCGCAGAGACGACGTGCGTGGCAAAGGGGGAGGACATCGCCTGGTAGCATATCTGTAGAATTGAGCGAGGGGCTGACGATTTCCGATGTTTTGGGATTCGGGGTAAAATACCTCGAATTCGCGTGTAATCATAGAGATGACAATAAAGAAGACGATTCTAGGTCTGGTACATGCCCACTTACTGGTGTAGGGTTAGATTTTAATATTATTTTTTGGTTTTGCTTCTAACGATGTTCCAAGTTAGTTTCTGACTACATGCCTGTTGTTCACAGTTTAACATACATTGTAACCTCATAAATAAACGAGAGAAGGGCAAATTATCAGACACTCGCCCACATTTAGGAGGTTTAATGCATAATGAAGAATGAAACTATTTTCATACACCAATAAATCAGAAATTGAAATACGTGTATTGAAAGTATTATCTTTATTGTCATCATTTTCAGTATCATATTAACATAAAGTCAGATTTTGTAAACCTTGAATTATTTAAAATTCCTGCCATTTCATATAATATCAGCTTCCGCTAAAACACAAGTCAATGCAGGTTTATAAAGTTATATGAAATATACTATAATCCTTCTAACAACATTCCTCCCCCATGTTAATGAATCAGGATACCGCCCTAAATAAAGTTAATACAAATGGTTGTTACTTACATAAGACACGGATCTCTATTATATCACTATTTGTAAACACTGGGTTGTTGACCTGACATCTGACCCTTGCCTTGTCCCAGGATCTGTCCACACTGGTGATGATTATAGAGAAGGATGTACCGTCTGTAGTACAGGAACACTGCTGGTCACACACCTGTCCTGTACCATCCTTACACTGTCCTTCAACCAGCTGTACAAATCTATAGGTTGATCCATTCTCATAACTAAAGGAAGCGTACACAGAGCTGTTCTCTGTCACAGAACACGTGAGTGTGAGAGATCCTCCCTCTGTAACAGGAAAGGGAGTCGCCATCAATTCTACAGCAATGCCTGTATTAACATAACAAAAGTCTCATTAATGTTTTCATTGTTTAAGCATTTAATGACAATATACCGATGAAATAAATATCCAATTTGATTTTAAAAATAAACAGATATATTTGTTGATAATTTCCTTTTTTCTCTCTGTTTTTATTGCACATCAGCTGATGATGCGCGTTTAATAACCTCAGACAAAACTACATTTCGTTGAATCGACAGTGAATACGTGTACATTACCTCTAAAAAGAATACAATTAACCGACACCGAATCGATTGGATATTAGTTGCCTATGGACGGTATTGTGCACATTTATTGAAACCAGAAGAAGCAACCAAGTGAGTGATGATCATTCGTAATGGATGTCGTTGGTAAAGATATGTGTTTGTCCTACCCACTATAAACTACTAAGTTTGTGAAATGTGCACGGTATTGCGTCTGTTGGCCTGTCCTGATACACAACGTGACATTTGCATTTGAATACCAACAACGTCCCGGTCCCCTTTCTACGGAAAGCTACCGTAAATTGCACCTATATCTTTAAATGCAGATTATTTCAATTATTGAACTTTATAGCTCGACTACACGTGACCCTTCACCAACAAACTGAATATGAAGTGGGGCTTTCCATTATGATATTGTCAAGTGTAGCGTGTTGTCTTCGTATTTAATCATATCAAAATTCGATACAAGTGCGGGCCAATATTTTACGCTTTTCATTCAGTACAATTTGTCTTGTCCAAATTGGAATAGTTCATTTACAGAATGCCACTGGCAACATATGCAATGATGTTTCGAACGAAATCAAAATTTGATTCAATAACTGTACATATTTACTGTGGACGCTAATGACGCTCCGTGGATCGAAACAAGCGAGTTGTCAATGCGTTTAGTTCAGAATTTACTGCAGAACGGCTTACACAGAACACATCGCCAATTATGTGTGCATATATTTGTTTTCTGATTCATTCCCCGTGTTATACATTGAAGTTACTCTCTAATGAACTAAGGCTTTTGTCTCAAAAATATCACCAAATCGTCTCTGTGATAATAAGTGGTAGCTAACGTCGCTACATCTAAGAAGAGTTGTCTACCTAAGCATTAAAACATTACATTTATATTTATCTAAAACACGAAAGTAATTAATTGGCCATTCATACGACATCCAAAGATAACCATTTTCAAGTTACACCTTATCGGAAATGCAAAAGTTTAGTGGAATCTACGATAAGTATCCATATCGGAAATCTCATTTCACCAGAGTATCCATTGGCACCTCAAACTTATAACTCAATCTACCATATGTAGAAAGTAGAAATACATGTTTTTGTAGTACTCAGTAGTGTTACAACGAACTGTGCTCTATAAATGTATGTCACCAGGCTGTTAGTGATTGTAGTCAGTATCACTCACGTAACCTGCTATGAATATGGTTACTTGTATTGTGATGAATCTCGGGTCCCATACCCACGGGGCCTGATAATTGGGATGATAGATGGAAATATTTCCATTAAAGAATAACGTTTCCTCTCTTCCAATGTCAAAGAATAAGCGCATTTGGACATTATCACAACTAGGTAGTTATATATCAAAGATAGTAATTTCAGAAACGAATAGATCATGGTTTTTAAACTAAATATTTCTCCTCAATAAAACAATAACACATATATACCTTGTGTTGTCTTAACTGGTAAGTAAATCGCTTATGATATCTGGATACATCTTATTAGATTGTTTTGCAAATTATTTGTTGGTGGAAATGACGTCATGATCCTCATTATCTTAAAATATTTTAATCAACACCATAAAGAGGTTAATTATTCTTTACAATAACAGTGCCTTCAAAGCCTTTAACAAAAGATTGTTGTCATGTTACAAATATACCTACTGAAAACACTTACATTACAACTGTACAACACACCTACAGTCAGTACACATACACGACAGGGTGTATAATGTAGGGCGATTATGTTTACATGATATGTCTGTCGTGTACAACACTAGGTAGCTCACTACCACATCACACATAATCAAACGAAAACAAAACGAACAAAAAAAACCATTCTCCAATATGATTTCCATTAAAAAAAATACTTACAAAAATACGTGAAGTGTAGAAATGATATTGGCAACAAAAATGTCTTTCTCATTGTGACAAGCGACGATTTCAAGTCAAGATGAACAATTCTGCGTTACTTCCTGGTTCTATTTATAATCATGTATGCATTTTGTAGATTTGGCTTGTGAAACATATACACACTTTGAAAGTCTTAATTCAATCTGACGTTTATCTCTATGTGACCATTTTACCAAAACGAGATTTTTTGAACCATAATATAAAATATATGCTTTCAAAGATTTCGAAATGAAATGAAGAAAGTCATTAGATCGTGCATTAATTGTCACAGAAAATAAAAGGCTTAACCTATTAAGGTAGACACCATTGTTATACTCAGATTCGACATCCGTCACTGCGATCATCCGCGGATGAAAAACATTATGAACTTTAAAAATGTAAATTATAACAGACGTTATTAATGAGCAACAGTAATTGACAAATCTATATTTAACAGAGTTTATTTATAGCGCATAAGGGTCAGCCTTTTAAATGTGTTCAAAACAACAGCAAACACTGTCAAAAGATAACATTTGTTTTGAATAAGTGAGCAAAAGCGAGAATCGTTATCACAAAAATCTATGTAATAAATAGTTTACAAAGAACAAAAATCGAGTATATGGAAGACTGTAGTAGTCTGTTTTTAACAAAGTCCATAATATTATGTTCCTGTTTGCTCTGTTGTAAGTTTCCTTGATGTTACTTCCGTATGTATAACGTCGAATACAGGCTCTCCCTGTTCGATTCGTGTCTATTTACTCGAACATATTGGTCACAATATTAGACCGTGCCTAAGCACTTGAAACAGACTGGCTATTATGTCAATATTGCAAAGATCGCAGTTTTGTATATGTGACTTTTGCCCGATTAATCAAGTCTTTGTTTACGTGAAATGGTTACCGGAGGCAAGTCTTTGTTTACGTGAAATGATTACGGAGGCAAGTCTTTGTTTACGTGAAATGATTACGGAGGCAAGTCTTTGAATTGGCCATTAAAAGCGTCAGAAATGGTTTGGTGGGACTAGCAACTAATCAACAAAATACGTTTTAAATGACTCAAAATATCTAAATATATACTTTACGTGTATATACGGAGATACCAGTCCTGAACTTAATTGGGATAAACGCGAATTAGTGCACCAGCGAAATCACTATCTCGGAAAGTCTCATTGAAAACTTCGCATCGATGTAAATGAAATAATACATAAAACGGTAAAAAAAACTAAGATTTCCCTTGTCATTTTATCAAACTATTATTGTAATAAACTTGATAAATTAATAAACAACCATAACAATAAAATACCGCATAATGAAAACTTTAAATTTATTGTAGACATGAAGCGTCAACAGCATACGTACGTAGTTTACGAGATTGTAAGGAATCGACCAACTTCGTTTGCTGTATTGTATTCCTACGTAGAACTGGTAACACTACATTGTGACCATCAGGTCTAATTTTGGCCTATAGTCTGTTTACTATCTCGTCACATTATTTTCAAATCTCAAATTGACAACTATTTTGTTATAAAAAATTCAAATATATTGAAATTACTAACATGAAGGTAATTATAGTCTAGTTCATATAGTAATCTATATAGTATAGTAATCTGATGAATTATTCTCTAATAGGGAGAGAATTAACAAACATGTGCACAAATATCAAATATCGAAATTAGAGATCAACAATGGTAGCGCTTTAAACTAATTACTAACAGAATAAGTATTATTATATAACGTCTAAGACATATCTAGCCAACGCAACTGTTGTTTTAACAAAAACAAGATAAGCCTCACAATCAATGAACCCTTAACACCTTTTAATTGGCAGATATTTTGAACTTTGACGATAAGTACATTAAACCACATGCTTCATTGCCGAGTGGAAATTGTTGACGCCATTGTGTCGAACATTAAAACATTTCGAGGAATGACATGGGTTTATGATGGCACATAACCCAAATACCCTTAACATTGAAAACATTGATAACGCTGTTACGGTCGTATCCAAAAACAGTTTGAACATTTGTTTTGGGTATATGAAGTTTAATTTCAGAAACTGGTTATACAAAAAAACATGTACAATGTATATTGTTTCTATATTGTCTATTTAAAGACGCTTACAATGATGCATTGATATTTTGGTAGAAATTAGATTACGACAATATTTACGGGTTTATGACTACATTTCTGTATGCATACTCTTATTTTTATACATATTATGAAACTTTCAATGAAAATAAACAAAGCAATGAAAAAGAAAAATATGCCATTATCGTTCATGATTAAATACACAAAGTTTCCTTCTTCTACTTGACAACTACATTGTAGAATGTCGGAATGAGTTGATCGTTTGTGCTATTTACCTTCCTGTAGCACCTTCCTCGTTTTGAACAGTTTAACAACATCTTGTTAACACTCATCGTCATGTTTAACATATTTTATACCTTTAAAAGATCACTTCACGTCATCATTCTCTATCCTGCATTCCGTTTCCTCTATCATTTATTGTATACAATGCTTAATTCTAACATCCTATGAAGTCTTATTGATACCTTTTGTTGACGTTTTAAATCACAAGACGCAATCCAGAAATCTTGTCAAATCTTTCTGATCATATGTTCTAAATTAGATAGCAATCAAATACAAATACCAACCCAATAGAGATAATTACTGGTTTCTATATCCTGATCTGAAATCAGATAATAGCTCAGGCTTTTCTCGTTCACAGTCAGCTTCTCTCAGACGAAATATGTGTAACTGAGATCAGAAATCGAACTACACGTAACGCATTACAGCTTTTCCCGTTCATAGTCAAGCATTTAAAGTGAATATACAGAGGATTACAGATCTGCAACAGGACCAAACGCTTTGACCACTCATAACGGTACCTTTATTGAACTTCATTGTTCAAAAGCAGCTTTAAAACATCAATTAATAACCGATCATTAATACACTCCTTTCCATATGACAAAGAGATGTGGACATGATAATGAAGAGTATACAGAGTGAGGAATATGTTGGATTTGAAGTTATTTTATTTCAGCAACTAAATCATTTTTTTCCCTTTTCGTCTTTATCATATAGTTGTTTAATATAATGCGGTTGTACCAGTTTGGGTTTTTTTACGAAGTTTGAATTTTAGTCAATGTTTACATATATATAACACAGATTTCCTTACATTTTCATTTTCATTATCAACATTTGCCAAGATATCTGATTGCGTGCTATATTTGATGACCGCGAAGATAGCGAAATTATATCTCTCTTGAATATTACCATCAATACAGTTTTGTCTATTCAGCAGATCATTCTGAAGGTATCGTAACTCTAGACATCGTTTTTTCGTAGAGAAGACAAGAATACTGATTGGTGTGGGAGGGGGGGGGGGGGGGGGTAGGGAGAGATTTTTCGCACAATCTCAATGAGAACACGGGTCGATTGAGCAGGTAAACTAATGTTGAACATAGTATTTGTGTCACAGTTAACGAAAAACTTGTAGGATTTGACACATCTGCTTGTAGGGAATCAAAGTTATAATTAGATGTTAATATGCTTACGCTAATCACACTATGACTATCAACAAAACAATTTCAAGTACCGAGACAAACTCAATTTTGATCTTTGACAGTAAACACAATAATAAAACTTCTGTTAATACATCAGAAAATCTACCATATGCCATTGCTTCATGTAAATTATTATTATTAATATTATTATTATTATTATTACATTCTGAACGGCCCGTCAACACATAAAGGTCATTAGGGTCATCAAACGGGAAAACACACAGCGATCTTAAAGGAAACAACATATCATAAATCAAATATGTTGATAAGTTGAACGTTAAATTCAGGCTGTGGGATTATTTCAACGTAAAAACAAACGATTCAAATACAACATATCATTTATGGAAAAGGGAACATTTTATGACTTGAGACGGACTTCAAAAACCACCCTAACAAAAACCAAATCTAAACCGGAACCGAAGCTTTCCTTTCAGCTTCTGGACTTGTTCACCTCCTACAGTTAGGATAAGACATTATAAGGCCTTGAAGCCGGTTACCAACACTAGTTTAATCACGTCGCCCGAACACTGACGTGCGTCGGTGAGACGATAACAGGACACGGGAGGACCATGCTGGCGCCCATACCCACATCTACTCCGGTTCCGTCTACGGCTCCAAGAACCAATAAAATCAGAGAAAAGGGTCACTACGAAGAAACCAATCTGGACTTCATTCTTTCCAAAATGGAGAAGTTGGACAAGCTAGACGCCATAGAGGAAAAGATTTCACGTTTGACCACAAGAGTTGGTAAAGTGGAAAAAAAAAAGGATTAGGAAGCTGAGCGTAGATGTGCCGAGCTAGATAATTATGCAAGTTTTATGTCGACAAAACTAGATGAAGCCAACGTCAACCGGGTTAATATAGAAGGGCTATCAAAGACATTAAGGAACCAGGAGGCAATCATCGGAGGTCTATGTAGTGATCTAGGAACTCTTAGAGTGAACAGTGATACCACGAAGCAGACCGTACAAGATCTCCAGTTTAGATCTATGAAATATAACCTGGTGTTCACTGGTCTGGCGGATGAACAACGTAATGAAGACACCACGGCACTCACCAGAGACCTTATTTACATAGAATTTGGCATTGAAGGCAGGTTTGGCATGCATGGACGTGGTAAGCCTCTGCCAATAGTTGCTAGATTCCTCTATCATCAGGACTTACATACGGTTATCATGCTCAAGTTTTCCCAAGAACAAAAGGCAACGGAGGTGGTGTGGTTATATCATATAAAACTGAATTTATCTCAAATATTCGTCTTGTTGAAAACATTCACGATTGTATATTCTGGTTAAAACTAAATGTTACATTAGAGCCCATGTTCATATGCTTCTGTAACTTTCCCCTAGAAAACAGTGTGTTTTATCATAATCGTGATTAGGATCCAGGATCTTGAAGATTCTATCAGTCGATATAAAAGAAACGGAAATACGTACGTCACCGGCGACCTTAATGCTCGTACAGGAACGAGGCCCGATTACATAGTTTACGATGGTCTAAACAGGTCCCGAAAGGGAAATATTTTTTAATATGATAAGGATGTAGAAATTCTTGAGCGTAGGAACATGGACAAAAATGTAAATACTTACGGAAGGAAACTTTATGTAAATCAACCGGCATTCGCATTGTTAACGGGCGTCATTTTGGTGACAAAGAAGGAAATTTTACTTTTTATAGCAATAGCAGTACAAGTGTTATTGATTATTTATTTGTAGATTCTGAATATTTTTCATGTATGCAAACTTTTTGGTCTGATGTGTTTAATACGTTGTCGGATCATTCGCTATTATCTTTTACTCTTGAATGTAGTTGCTTGAATGTTAATTGTGTTGATATGCCTTGCATAGGCAAACCGTGTACAAATGTAAGATGGAATCTGGAAAATACTGGTGAAATATTGAATGGTCTGAATACTATATTAGAAAACCTTTTAATACCTGAAAAGATGTTGATATATGCATTACCAATTTTCGTGACATACTGAATGATGTAGTTGTACCAAATTGCAATGTGAAAATGGTGACAGATAATTTTAATTATAATACATCTAAGAATAAAAACAAAATAGACGACAAACCATGGTTCTCTGAACAGTGTAAATGTGGATATATGGATTACCAAAAAGCTTTGTCTGATTTTAATAAATATCAGTCTGCTGAAAATCACACTATTCTCATCAGAAAAAAATCTTTGTAAAAGAAACTAGAATCGAGATCAAAAGGCAATACAAGCAGCGAAAAGGTGACATGATATTATATCTAAGAACGTCTAATCCAAAAGCATGTCATAAATATTTTTCAAAGGGTCGAAGCAGTGAACCGAAGTCAAATCTAAACTTGAAAGATTTTGTAGAACATTTCAAAAACATGGGAGATGGTAATATCAATAATATTGACAATCCAAGTATGTTATAAACAGTGATTCTGCTGTGTTCGAAAAACTAGATAAGCCATTCACAGAAAACATTTTGTACATATTGCCATTCGTTAGCTGAAACGAGATAAAAATTGTAGCGAAGATTGTATTTTAATGAACCTTTCTTTGACTTTGGGGTAATTTTGCAAGGAAGCAAATATTGCCATTTTTTGTAGATTGGTACTATACAACCACGTCACCAAATTTCTGGAAAAAAATCCAGAATCTAATAATTTTCCAAAGAGTCTTGTATTATGGCGACGTTAACGACACTGGTAACTATATAGGCATAACTTTGGTTAGTTGCATGGGCAAATTGTTTACATCTGTTCTTAATAGAAGGCTTCTTAAGTGGGACAAAGACAATAACATTATTTCTGACGCTTAATTTGGTTTAAGGAGGGTTGTTCAACTGTAGATGCAATATTTACTCTCCATTCATTGATAAATAAAACTTTAAAAAATAAACGAAGATTATATTGCTGTTGAGTAGACTATAAAAAAGCCTTTGACCTCATCGATAGAAGTAGTCTATGTAGTAAGCTAATAAAACAAGGAATTCAAGGGAAGTTATTAAATATCATAAAATCATTGTACGACAATGTCAAATCTTGTGTCAGATATAAAGGTCATATTTCAGATTATCATCCTAACAGAATCGGCCACTTTCAAGGGGAAATTTTATCGCGAATTTGTATGGTCTTTTTGTAAACGATTTTGAAATCAATTTAATTAATCAACGTTGTCCATCTATTGAGTTAGGTATGATATCTATATTTTTATTGATGACTCGGTTTTCATAACTGAATCACCAGGCGGCTTGCAATCAATGCTAGATGCACTGCTTATCTATAATGGTAAATGGAAACTTAAACGTAATGTACTTAAAACAAAAATAGTAATTTTTCGAAATAGTTGGCGCATTAAAGATGATGAAAAGTGGTTTTACAACGACGTTTAAATTGAAGTTGTGAACAAGTTTAACTATCTGAATATGTTTTTCAATTTCAATGGTAAATTTGACAATACGCCGCGGAAAAGGGGAGAAAATCGTATTTTAGACTGATAAAATGAAAAATCATAACTTCAATGTTGAAACGTTATGCTCAGTTTTTTTTATACTTATTTTAGAAGTGTATTAACATATGCAAGTGAAGTTTGGGGATTCCATAAAGCTACTGATGTTGGAAAAGTACATTCACATTTTTGTAAACAAATTTTAGGTGTTGTGAAAAGTACATATCACGTTTTAGTTTATTTTGAATTAGGTAGATTACCAATGTATATTGTCAGAAAATTGAAAATAATGAAATACCGGACTAAAATCAAAGATACAGATAATTGTGTGTTGAAAGCATGCTATGAACAAAGATTATTAGATAATGATGAGTGGATTGTAAATATTAATTTAGAACTAGATAAATTAGGATTAGGGTACTTATGGAACAGCAGTCTTGACAGAAAACTAGAATACAAGTTAATTGAGTGTAAGTTTCATGAAATTCATATTCAAGAATTGTTTAGCAATATTCGAAATTCTCCGAAAGGTTATTTGTATGAACATTTGATAGACAATTTTGTCCTGCAGTATTTGTTAAGGAAACCTATTGACTATCGATTCAAGAAATGTATATCAAAAATAAGATTGTCATCACATCAGCTCAATATTGAAAGTGGTAGATATAGGAATGTAGCCAGAGAAAATAGGGGCTGCACATAATGTAATGATAAAGGTATTGAAGACGAATTCCATTTTATATTAATATGTCCCTTTTATGTTGATCCCCGGTCTAAATATTTGAAATCATATCATTTTCGCAGACCTAGTGTGTTCAAATTAATTCAATGCTGAGTATAAGCAATGTAAAGGAGTTAAACAACCTCGGAAAATATATTCATTATGTATTTTAACGGCGATCTGAAGTATTATAGGCATATTATGAGCAAACCTTATTAATTAGATTTGATTTGTAAAACGTTAACTTTTTCATACGCAACATTCCTTACTTGATTGACTTAGTTGATAATTCTGAAGGATAAAGGTACACACGTTGATTCGGACGTAAGCGAGTGAGTACTGGGGTATCTTCACTTAAGCATGTGTGCTTACAATGTATGTGAACATTCATGAGGGAGTGTGTGGGAGAATGTACGTTACGATTTGGTTACATTCTGGATATGTATTTATGTGAAGTTGTACATGTTTATTAAACATTATGAAGCATACTCGTCAAGGAAGGTCACTCTCCATATGTCAATTATAACATATTTATGTATGTATGTATAATATTCATGTAAACCTATGCGCTGTAAGGCCCCCAGATTAAACTTGAACTTGAACTTGAACGTCAGTATTCTGGCGACGCGATATGTATGAGTGATTGACAGGTTTTCCGTCACGTGACTCCTTCCGTGTGCGGGTATCGTCTCACCGACGAAAGTCAGTATTCCGGCGACGAGAGAGTGCGAGCGACCATGACTTCATTTATGATTGACAGGTTTTCCGTCTCCGTGACTCCTCCAATGACCTGCACTTCCACAGTGGGATGGAACCGTTTGCAGCGGAGACCGTTTGATTAAACTGGTTTTGGTAGCGGGCGTCAGGGCCTAGTAATGTCTTGTCCTAACTCTAGCAGTTGAACAAGTCCAGAAGCTGAAATGAAGGGTTAAGTTCCTATCTAGATTTGGTTTGTGTTAGGGTAATATTGAAGTCTGTCTCATGCCTTAAAGGTGATTGTATACTTTGGCACTACCCCTAGACCCTGGACCGACGTTATCACGCCTACTCGAAAACCTGCGAGATTGGATAATCCTCACCTGGGCCACAGTTTAAAGTCCAAACCGCCGGGCTATGGTTGGTGCGGGTGTAGTTATAGTTAACTCTTTTTCCTTTTTTGATTTCTTTTTCTTTTGTTTTGTTTTTGGTTTACTTTTGTTTTTGTCTTGAAACCTTTCGAATCATATTGACTAAGGCACTTTATCACTTAACTAATGCCTATTGTTTTCTGTTATTCTACTCCATTCCTTCTGGATATATCTGTTCTCTTTAGCAACGTTTTATAATTATATAAGTAATTTGTGTGAAAGTGCTGATATAGAGGGTTATGAGAGGTTTCAGTAAGATAAGTAATGTTGAAGTAGAAAATGTTATGATAGACTGATATTATCTAACATTGATTTAAGTTTTTAAAAAGAAAGAGAGATCCATTGCGCATGCACGGGTATGATGGTTGGGCTATGTTTTAAGCTATGTGTTTAGCAGGAGTAATGTGTTAATTCTAATTGGTTACATCTTGAGTACAGATAGAGAGGAATTAGGTTGTTTGATTTAATCTATATACTATTATATACATCCCTTGTCTTGTCTTGTTTACTTACAAATACGTTCGCCAGCGCGAGACAAAAAAGAGAGCATCTATCTGTCCTGATCAATCATACTGGCGATATTCTGCCACGGTGCTTCAACACTGGGGTACACACCCCTCCCGTTATCAGGCGTACATCACTACCTGTTACTCACAAGTCGTTAAGCCTGGTCCGGTGCCTGACTTATGACACCTGTTGTTACTGCTCCCTGAGACACCTTTTTTACTTTAATTTCTGACCCCAAATGTACTTTTACTATCCATTTTGTTACACCCGAATAAACATGGTAAGGGAGATAACTCTTAAGATACAGTTAAACAATTAAAGTATTTTAATATATATTTAGCAAATGAACCATCTCACATAGTTTGTA